GAGGGTGGGGAAAAATGAGGACCTAATGCCGGGGGCTTAAGTGGAGAGGAAATGTTTTGAGAATGATGAGGGCAGTGAATGTACAAATGCGCTTTACACAATTGATATATATATGGATTGTGATAAGAGCTGTATGAGCCCCTAATAAAATCATTTTAAAAAATTACTAAATTACGTCTTGAATAAAGCTCTTATATATATATATGGAGAGAGAGAGAGAGGCTGGCTTTATTGCTCTAGGCAATCCAGCCTAACCCACTGTGTAAATATGTAATCTTCAGTCAACCTTTGCATCTTTAATATTTGTATCTATGGATTCAACCAGCTGATGACCAAAAATATTAGAGTGGGTAGGTAATTAAACAGTCAAACAAATCCCTCCAAGGCTTAAAGGGAACATTCTATTAGTGATGTAAGTAATCTAGGAATGGCTGAAAGGCTATGGCAGGTTATGTATACGTAGTGCGCATATTCTCCACAATTTTATATAAGGAATTTGAGCATCTGTGGATTTTAGGAGTGGGCGGGTGGGGAAGGGGCCATGGAACCAAAACACTGCAGATTCCAAAGAATGACTGTATTCAAGAAATCAGCATTTAAAAAAACTCTGTAACTTTATTTGATTTTGTAAAATGGACATTGCCGAGCTCTATCATGACTGTGCTATGATTATTCACATGAAAATACTTGGAGTAATAATAAGTCACAAGATGATGTTGTAATTTTGTACTCAAAACACAACTTAAAATGATGACAATAACTATTTTATTTGAAGCAGTTCTATTTGATGTAATTGGTACATTTGGCCCAGGATGGGAAAATCAGTAATAATTCAAATAACCCACTACCATTTGAGTCAATTCCAACTCATAGCGACCCTATAGCACAGGGTGCAACTGTCCCTTTTTAGTTCCAAGATGGCAACTCTTTATGGGAATATAAAGCCTCATCTTTCTCCTGAGGAGCAGCTGGTGGTTTCAAACTGCTGACCTTGGATTTAGCAGCCCACATGTAACTACTATGTCACCATTAGAAGTTTGAAAAATCTAGACACAAAGGTATACTTAACTGTATGTTCTTAGAATTAGTATTTTTTTTTTTAGAATTAGTATTTTTATCAGGCATTTCTACTTTACCATTCTTCATACAAGTTGTTGTGAGTCAGAAAAATGATGTAAACTAATAGGGAAGTGAAATTGCTTAAACATGGCCCTTCTATTCATTTCTCTAAAACTCTCACCTAATGATTGTGTGGGACCATGCTAAATGGGTGGGTGAAACACAAATAGAGGGGACTGGTCAGTTTTGCCATTCTTCTGGGTATAAGAGAGCCATCTCAGAAGCAGGAACAGAGAGATTCCCATGACTACCAAGAGAAAAAAGCCCCAGTGGAGTATATGTGAAGTTCCTGAACAGAGCAGCAGAGCAATCACGGAGAGTGAGGCATAGCAGGAGGCCCATGGAGGC